AAAAAATACTATTGCAGAGCGCTGGTAAACTCTTGAATTTAGCACGCTCCGCCACACCTGCAGGCGGTCGTTGGCGCTCTGTGCCACCTTCCCGTCGTCTCTCTCCACGCCCCTCTCCCACCCCTTACGTTACCATTCCATCTTTCCCTTGTCTCCGACCCGCCAACTCCACCACCTCTCTCGCCAACACCTCTCTCGCCCCCATCCTTCTCTCCTTTCTTTCCCCGCCTTGCCCCCCCCTCTCTCCTCTCTCTCCTCTGTCTCTCTCTCTCTCTCTCTCTCTCTCTCTCTCGACTTCCCTCGATTCGCCCTCCAATTTCGCCTTCGTCCTCCGCTCCCGGCCAGGCGCCGCGTGGCCGCCCAGGTGCGCCTGAGGGGCGGGGCGCCCGCGCCCGCGGCGACCTCGACCCCTGCGCCCCGCCCAGAATAGCCCACCGACCGACCGATGACGACGGCGCGCGCGCGCCCACGGCGGAGAGCGCCCTGCCGACCGACGTCACGCAAGCGGCGCCCTGCCCACGAACAGAATCCCCTCAAGGTTTCCCTCCATGTGGAATTGCATCTTCACGGTACCCACTGCAGTGCCTCTGACCGGGAGGACCTAGGTTTGGCTGCCTACGGTGGCAGGTTCTGCGACACTAGCTTGACAGCGAGGTGGAGTTCTGTCCCTGTCCGGGGGAGAATTCTAGCGGCCGGTTACTCTGAAGTTCTTCGAACAATACCAGGCGAAAGCCTGAGCAGTAACCTAACAATGTGCAACACGCAATGTCGAAATGCAATCATAAGTGTTTTTTGTAGAGTTCCTAGAGTTTGTTGACTTAGTACGCACGCTAAACCTTTGAAGTGTCCATTAGTTTTGCGGGGATGTTTTAGGCTCACTTAAACGAAAAAATCCCTTCTGCATCCAAAACAAGGCATTCTCGAAAGCGACGCGGGTGTAGCAAGGAAAAAAGGAGCAGATAGTTCACCTTCGTAAAATGTTTGATTGCCGTAAATATGGAAAATTTATCACAACATAATCGGAAGTCCATTCCTAAAAATAAAATACAAATGCTGGTTTTAGTTTGTGTTTATTGTGTATCAATTATCCAGAGACGTGGCGCTGTTTGAGAATTTCTCATGGTAGCAAACCGTCTTCGGCCAGAATCCTTATTTGTTGCCAGTCTTCAGAAGCGAAAGGTCTCAACCACTTCTTGAAATTTTTTCCTCGGAATTGTTAACAAAATAGTCATATCCAGTTCGGATGGCCGAGATCGCTAAGACGGTTGTGCCGTATCGATCTCGACCCGAAGGATCGCGGGTTCGACTCCCGCGTCGAGCATGGTTATATTGTGTTCGTCTTTTCACGCCCTATCATCATATCGTGTCATCCTCATTGTTACCATACCGTTACACGCAATAGTGGTCGGTAATGTCCTAGAAGTTGATGCAACCTTAAGTAAATAATTTTTTAAAAATGTCATCGTAATGTTTCTTCTGAACTTAAGTTTGTAATATTTGTAATGTTGAGTAATATTTGTCATAGATTTGTCGTAATTGCCAGTGACTTGTCGTGGTCGTTTCTTCGTCGGTCCATTTCTTGTGTTGTCTCGCGTAACGGCTCCGTTAATTGGCATGCCCCCCCCCCCCTCCCAGATACAATCATGCGTATTTTCATGGCCCCTGCTAAGGTCTGTCAGAGTTGATGTGAGCTTGGGTAGCGATCTATTAAGACTTTCGACAGATTAGGAAACAGTTGAACTTCGCTGTCGGTCGCGATGAAATACTACTTTGCTGTCATTTCCTAGTGCGGGCAGACGATTAAAAGTGCATTTTAGTTTAAGGGAAGAAAAATCTTACGAGGCATTTAGTCAAATGCCCAACACATTTCGTCAAATTTGTTTTCGACAATTTCAAGCTAGGTACAATAGTGGTGTAATTGGTAATGAATGAATTCCAAGTTGTTTATAACATATCGCTGAAGTCCGAAAAAGTTGTCACTGAAAATAAAATGTAAAAAATTAAGGAATATTAGTCTGCACGGTAGGTCGCTGTTTTACGAATAAAGCTTTGGATAAATTTCTTTTTTCTGCTAGAATTATTCAAAATTGTGCATTCATAATTGTAATTCACATGCAATTCATAATTGTGCAAAATTGTGCTGTCATAGCAATGTCTGTCGCATGAAGATTAAGCTGTCTCTAGACAGGCTAAACTAACTAAGAAGTCGCTGAGATAATTGTTACTTGCACCAATAACTTGTCACCACCGAGGATGCAATTGACAATCTGCTAGTGAAGTTTATTCAAATAAGGCGAGAAAACGGGGTATTGCTGTTGGAGAGGAACGCCTAGTCTCATGGTGTTGTTTCTCAAGATTAATCGTAACCCTTTTCCGTTGTTTACTAAAGAGGCGCGTTCTTTTTAAAGAAGGGCTTGACATGGGCAGTTAGTTACAAACGTGACAGCTACCCCCAATTGACAGCGGCATAAACACTTCTTTGATACTGTTTCCAGCATGTGATGGCACTGTTTACTTTGGAAGAGCTTTTCGTGGTGTATTGTATCCGGTTCCTGAAACACATTCTCAGATGCTGGAAAAGTAAGCCAGAGGTTGATGACCGTTTTAATGCGGCTTGCGTGAGGCACTGTTTTGGCGAGCTCTTTTTGTATGTGCGAAACAGCTATTTTTTCGCTCTAACTAAAAGTGTGCCAAAACATCTTTCGCAAAGGGGGTGTTAAAAAATCAAGAACGCAACACGTGCGCAAGGTGATTTGCGCACTTGTTGCGTAGAAACTTAACTTTTGTATCCAGATCAGCATCAATAAGTTAGAGCGGGAATGATTTTTGTTTTTTCGATTACTTTATTGAAGATTCGAGGTATGAGGCTGTTAGTAATCTTGAATGTAATTGTTTTTGCTGTGCTGAGACACTCCATTCTTTGAACAACTCAAAATATTAATTATTGTTTTCGTTACTTTTTTAATATGTAAACGCTTTTCGTAACGTATTGCGCCCGGTTCCTAAAACAGAGTTATTGGAGAAATAAGGGTTTTTAAAACTTTTAAACGTACATTTTCGTCTGTAAAATTTATATTTTGTTTACACTTCTGCCCAAATATATTAAGGCTTTAGCGGTTCGAAGAGAGGAAATATTTGGAGAATTTTTGTTTAAATTAAGAATTATTTAGAAAAGCGAAGTAGCAGTTCCTGGCATTGGATTCTCTCGAAATTTTCCTTCGGCGTGTTCACTCCTCCTCGTAAAATGTCGAGCTTTCTTCAGGTAATCTTGTGTGAACAAGATGAGAAAATTCCAAATCGTAGGTGTCTCCGTGACAATCTTGAAAAGAAAATTCCAATAAGACTTTGATAAAGATGAAATTTTCACACATACACACAAGACTTCGCGTTGAAGATTTAGTTGAGCATGGAAAACTGCCCCCTTTCCCTCTCCTTTTTTTTCATTTCTTCCGTATGACTAGAAAAAATTGGGTAACTTTTATTTTTCTGATATGGAGAGTCAAGCGATGTATACACCGTAACATAGCAGGCAGACCCGAGCTCGTTATTTATATTGCAACGTCATACAGCAGCTTGGTTTTTGAAGATCAATCTGCTCCTGAGCAGAGCAAAGCTGCTATCATTGTCCGTCGTATAACATACGATGCAGTCCTATACGCCTTATACAAATGCACGTCTTGCGTAACAGAAATGCCTCCTGGCCCACATTACGTTGGTTTTAGGCGGCGCCACACATTCGACATGCGCCAAATAGCGATCTTCTGCTCGCCCAATCCCGAGCAACTGGTGCGCTCCGAGTATGTTTGCTTCCTTGGATATGTGCAAAAGATCGACTCGCGGTAGGTAGGGCTAGCACCTAATGTTCGTCGCTCGGCAAATACCAAGTGACTCATCCACACTCCCCGGGATTCGGGGTGCGGACGCTCGCTACTCGCCGAATACCGAATGTGTGGTGCCGACTTTAGGCAAAGCCAGACGATCGAGCGTGCCGATGGCTACTTTCTATTTGAATCCCGGGTAGGTGACTGGCATTTGCGTGATGTGGTTTAACTTCCGAGAGATTGTGGCACCTGCACGAATCGAATTCGTCGTTTCTCCGTATCTCTTCCAGACGAATGTCAGAGCGGCACTGTAGAATACAGACCTAACACCGCGCACGATCTCTTCATCTTGTTTTTCTTTCTTCTCATCAATCTCCCGCATACCGAACTCAGAATCTGAAGATACACACATGTTCCTTTCCTCATTCAACTGGCAGACGTAATAAAGATCAGGGTTGCCACTTTCTGAAAGCGTGGAAAACCGAAAAATCAGGGAATTTCATTGCTCTGATAAAGTCAGGGAAATTGTAGAAGAAAAGTCAGAACATTTTGAGGCTTATTCTTTAAAACAATTAGTGCAGAAAAAATAGTGACTCAATTTTTATTTGAGTTATTTTTTAATTTTTACTTATTCACTGTACATCATAGAGTTAACAAATTAGTATCCGGCTTCCTTTTATTTTTTCCAATTCTTTAATTATTATAATTCATTAAGTCGCATTTTTCTTTACAATACAAATCTTTTCAGTGAATATCCACGGGGAAAAAACTATTAAAGACAGAGAAATTGAGGCGCTCAGGATAACAATGGCTGTTCCCAACCGACCTCGCATTTTCAGATACAAGTATGAGGGTAAACTCGTGTCATTTGCCGAAATATCAAATGAATTGGGATGTGGAAAAACCCTCAAATTCCACCTTCAAAAATTTGTCCGTAGTGAAAGTGAACGTGAACGAAATCATAAAAAATCATATTTCTCGAAAGGAACATCGGTTGGCATCTGCTGATAATTATTCTGAGCGCCTCAATTATATTCCATGAAGTGGCCACCCTGACGATCGAATATTGTTGGTGCAAATAATACTGATTTGTAATGTATAATTATTGTTAAAAAAAAACATAAAAAACTAGTGGTTTGCGAGACGGTGTAACAGCAGTGTGCTCTTGTGTGCGCGCAGGAGGCCTGGGCCAGCCGGAGCGCCGCCAGCGACGTCGAGAGCAGGAGGCGCGCGGGGGAGCGGGCGGGCGCTCGCCGCCCTCGGAGGACGCTGGTCGCTAAGCGAGGTAACCTCCCTCCCTCCCTCCCAGTAGCGCTGCTCCGTGTCAGATGCCCTGTGTGTTGTCGTGTTGGTCAGCGACACAAGCGCGGCGCGCGGTCATCAAGGAAATACTGCGCCGCCTTACAATTACAAATACAGCATCTTTCTGTTAAATATAACCCAAAAGTGAATGTTTTTATATACATTTTTATTTCTTTATGCATGTAACTAAAACATGTGAAGTTTTGAACAATTTCGAAGAAAAATGATTTAAATCTTATGAATGTTGTCCATTGAAAGTGAATATTAAAATCATGAAGAAGAAAAAGTATTCCCATACTGTAGATGAAAATATGTAGAAATGTAAGGTATCTATGTAGTAAATAAGGGTAGCTAGGAGGTAATCTTTCTCTTAGGAAGTAATAACAAATTTCCGTCTTCCTTTCTAGGTCTATTAGACAAGCAAAAAACAACATAACTCAGGTTTCTTTCTTCATTATTGCTGCATTTAATTGCACAATTGCGATCCTTTCAACACACGCATTGTCATTAATGTGTTAACTGGAAAAATATAAAAGTTTAGTTGGTGCGTATCAAATATGTTCCGATACATGTCAAATGTAAGGTTAAAATAATGGTTCGATATAATTGTACGTGTTATTTAATGACTTGCCCTTGCAATCGTAGGAATATAACACCAGGAGGTCAAGAAACAATACGAATTTTCTTTTAAGTTTCTAACCAGCTCTTAATCGCAGTTTCACACAAAATCCCTGTTCTTCAGTCGCATCTAATAGTAGTTTTACTTGAGCGAGGATCGCTAGCTGTATGTGCGCACATTCCTAACTATCCCCAAAACGGGCTGAGCTGCACTACTGTAAAATAAGTCTACTGTGCCCTCCCCTAACTGAGCCCTGCGAAAGTCGGGGCTTTAGGAGATCAAGCCGGACACAAAATGAAATCATTACCCCCAGGGAATTCGAAACGCGTTATTAAGTTTACCATCAACTCGTAATATAAAATTTCGTCCCCATAAACTCGGCTAGGCGATTTCCCGTCGGCTCGAGAATCCTCTGCAAGCCCATGCGTAGTTCGTCGCCGGATCGCACGTTTTCAAAACCACTTCAGATGACCCACTCACGCTGTTGGATATGTTAGAGGCTTTTTTTCTTTTCTTTCAAACTTTTTGGTTCGGGCTTTCTTTACCAGGAAATCCGTTTTTGGTACTAGCGAAATGGGCCGACGATGGTGCTGATAGACTTCGCAGAAACTGTAGATTATATGCAACGGCTGACAATTTCTGAGCGAAGAAATCGAATAGGCTTCTCAGCAATTCCATGGAGAGCATTTGTTGCATCGCGTAAATATTATTTGAAGCAAGTATCTTTAAAATGGTACTACAATCGATGAAATCAGGGGAAAATGTCTTAAAATTACGCGAAAAGGTCAAAAAGACGTATTAGCCGAAATCGGAGGAAAATGGAGGAAAGTCGTAAAAATGGATAATTTCCTTTTGTCGTAACATGAAATAGATGTCTATACAAAAATATATTGTTTTAAAGTGAAAAAAAAAAGACTAATTAAAATTCGCCACCCACTCGTAAGTCTTTGGCCGTTCCTTCAGCTGCCCCACGCAAGCCCCTTTGCGTGCCCGCAGCGTGAGTCGCCGGCCGAGGGAGGTCCGCCCGGAAGCCGCACGTCGCCGCCGCCGCCGCCGTCGCCGCCGCCGCGATGCCGCTGCCGAAGCGCGTGGTGGAGCCCGTGCACGTGTCGCGGGGCGTCATCCCCGAGGACTTCCCGCTGCCGTCGGAACTGGAGGCGGCCACCAACGGCACGCTGGCCAACACGGTGCGCCAGCTGTCGTCGCTGTCGCGCCACGCCGAGGACCTGTTCGGGGAGCTGGCGCGCGAGGCCCACGGCCTGGCCACGCGCGCCTCGTCGCTGCAGCAGCGCATCGACCGCCTCGCCGTCAAGGTCACGCAGCTCGACAGCAACGTCGAGGAAGGTGAGCGCCCCTGCTTGCAGCGTTCTCGCAGAGTTGGCTTCAGCCGGTCGTGCTAGGTTCTGCTGGACCGGGCTAGGTTCTGCTGGACCGGGCTAGGTTCTGCTGGACCGGGCTAGGTTCTGTTGGACCGGGCTAGGTTCTGCTGGACCGAACCGGATTCGAATAAAACAATTTTGATTCTACTGGACTATATTCAACTCTGCTGACATTTCAGTGATTTGGTCTGGGTTTGGTGTGACTTGATTTAATGCCGCTTTGTGATTTAATTTTGCATGACCTAACAGTACATTTTGAATGTCTTGGACTACTGTATTGCTTTTTGTACCTCAATTTGAACTGAACTAATTTTTAATGCTAACTTTCATCCTCACGAAAACTAAAATCTCTTATTACTTTTAAACAAGCTTATTGGAGAGAGGCCTATCATTTGCCTAATTTCTTTAGCAAGAACCCTTTGATGTAGACTAGTTTGAACTCTAGTGTATTGTTAGTTTAAAACACAAATTTCAGGTCATACTACAACTGTATGTTACAGAATAGCAGTTGAAAAGAAATCTTATTTGTATTTGCTTATTTTATTTTATTTTCCTCAATTTGTACCCCAATATTCAGATCTGTATTATTAACAGCATACTAAAAAGATGAGATTTTGCATGCATGTGCAGGAAATTTTACCTTTGCTACTGCATGTTTGGAATGTGATGTTGTGATTTGTGCCTTGAAATTATGCTCTAATCTCAATTTTGAACCTACCTTACACTGATGCTCTTTATCTTGGCTGTGCTGTGGTCTTTTTGTTTAGCAATACATACTTACATTGGAATTTTTTAATTTTTTTTTTTATTTTGTCTCTTTTTTTCTCTCTTCTTGTTCATTAAATTTTGACCTCTTTTTCTGCAAGAGGTTATATGACTTTGATGTGCTTGTTACATATCAAAATAATTTTGTACATTAATCTAAGATTTAATGACAATTTAATTTATTTAAATTTAATTTGTTTGCATAGTGCTTTGTTTGTAATATTCTTGTTTATTTGCTTGGGCTTGATACTATTTGAATTATTTACTTATTTTATAATTGTAATTGTTTTTATTTTTGATATTTAAATTCTGTTATGAGTTCATGTTTAATATTGTTTGCTTTAGCATAATGCATTTGCTTGCAAAACCCTGAAATTCCATGCCAATGAAGCTAAGCAATCATGACTCCTGTTTCCTCCGCTTGCATTGTATTATTATGCCATAAGCAAATTTTGTTAGTGGTATTTAATTAGTATTAGTTGATTGCTACAAAATGGCATCATATGAAAGATTTTTCCTGATTTCTGTGTCCCCTTCTTTGATACATCTGTGTGAATATTCTTTTCATCTGTTAATATAAATTATTTCACTGAACAAAAATTTGTACTTTTGCGAGTACTTTCTAAGTAAGTTACCTTCTCTAACTATAGGCATAATTGTTGCATTCATTGACAATTTTCATATCCTCTTGTAAAATTAGTCTAACATGTATATTCTTGTGTAAAAAAGATATATTCTTTGAATACAATGGGCCATTCTTTGCATAATCCTTTTACTTTGGAAATTATCCAATGTGTAAATCACAAATTATATGCTGTTTTGTTCCCTTCCAAGTAGTTAAAGATACTTGTGAAACACGTTCCAATTACCTTGCAATTTTGATATTTGCAGTACTGTGTATTGGATTTCCTTCCATCTCCTCGTTACACTTGATTAATTATTCATTTTCAAATCAATTTCTAAAATGAGTAAAAGCCAACATTTGCAGTGAAACAAATTGAAGTTTTTGTGTAAGTGTGATGCAGATTTAAAATAAACAAACAAACTTAGATTAAGGGAAGGAAAAGAGCTTGTTATTATTGTTTTTCACTTAGTTGTATATCAGCAAAAGTTTTTCTATCGAGTGATGTCTGTAAAATCTTTGTGCAGTAGAGTACACCAATTGTTCTGTGGCACCTTTGCAATACACAGTGTGCCTTCTGCTGGAATCTTGTGACAGGGCAGGAATTGTGGATCCTTGGCTTGGCTTGGCTTGGCATGAATTGTCTTGAATGTGCTTTGCTAATGCTGGTTCCTGTGTGCAGTGGGGCTCTATGTCCAAGGCCACACATGTGTTGCAGTGTCTCTCCAAGACATCCACATGCGCAAAGCTTTCAAGAGCTCAGTGGTGTTCGACCAACAAGTTGTGTCAAGGGACACTATGCCTACGGCTATGCTGGAGACATACACTCAGTGCGACAAGCCCCCACCGTTAGACAAACTCAACATGTACAGGTAATTTTTATTTTTCGCTTTGGATGTCATGTGTTCATTGAATTTCTTTGGTGACTTAGTGTTATTCTTGTTATTTTTAGTGTCTCTTCTTAGTTTTTAATAATATTGTACTTACTGTAATTTATAAATTGTACACAATGATAATTGACTTTTGTTTGAACCACAACTCAAGAGATTCTACTTAAGAAATTCCAATACCAAATTCATGACGAAAAACATAACTTCAACATTTTTATCTCCTAATATGAGGAGTAGCAAAACATGAATCATGCCCTGAGTATCCTCTTGTAAGCTATTTAAATAGTTATTGTATAAATTACCATTTTTTATACACAACACATTTATGCATTTTTGGTAAAATTGAAACTCTTTTGTATTCTAAGAATCATGGAAATTTGTTTAACATGTAAAAGATCTTTACACTTCCTGAGTGTTTGAAGAACTTCTTCTATGAATGAAGTTGGGTACCTGCGAATCATAGTAGTTACAGGAGTTTGAGACAATTTGGAACTAATGGAAAGAAGGGAGGTAGTTGATACAACTCAACTTATAAATGACTGTTCGCCCAGAAGCTTTATGTGGTTTTATCTTGAATTAGCTACTGGAGAGTGATGGACCCGCAATGAATATAAATTTACAATTTGCATAGAGTACTAGAAATGGCAGGGAAGTGATATCTGGTAAGCTTTTTGATTGAGAAAGTTGATCATGTCTTAGGTTTTCTTATCCAAGTATAATCTTTATCAAAAGTTTGCATCATTGCCTACACAAAAACCTGATGCCTATTGACTATAGTATTAACAGATATGTAAGGGTTCTCAGTTCACCAATGGTTCACATCAATTTCTAGTTGATGGTTGTTAAAGATTCAGAAGTCAAGGGCACTGGCACGTGCACATCAGGAAGAAAATCTGTTAACATGAAAGGGAATATTCTTAGGTGGCATTCAATGAGTCTATGGATGCAAGTTCAATGCGTTAAACTTTCAAGAAGGGGAGGGAAGCTAAAAAAAACAGAGGTTGTCCTACTATGGGAGAATGATAAAACGATGAAACATGATGAAGATGGTAGGGACAAAAATGATAACAATAATAAAAATGATGTCAATTTTAGTATCAAGAAAACAGTGAATGTTTAGCAAAAAGTTTTAACATTCTCAACAAAACAATTTTCTAGTGAATTAGACAATTTGAAAATTTATTTTGACTAAATAGTAACAATTTGTTAAAAATTCTCAAAAGGACTTTTTAAAATACGGAAGTTATCTTCCATTTTGTGAATATGATCGTTGTGCACAAATGAAGGGCAACTGTATTTCTTCTTTTGATTTTTTGTTGTTTTTTCTTCCTTCACAAATCTCTTTATTTTGCAGAGAGGATGGCAAAGATGGGCTGAAGTTCTACACAGATGCCAATTACTTCTTTGATTTGTGGAGACAGGAAATGCTGAAAGATACGGAACGTATGATGCATGATAGAGGCAAAAAGGTAAGATTCTTGTTATTTCATTTTATTTCTTTTCTTCCTATACAAATTTCCTAATATTTCAGTATATTTTTAGCAGTAACTGTGTAATAAGTAAGCTGGGTTGAAGAGTCAAGGAAGTATAAATTTATTTATTTATTTTGAAGAAATAATTGATTTTTTTGGGAGATGTTCGGGGATTTTTTAAATTTATTTTCCCTTAACCCACTTTTTGTTATTATACCCTTAAAATGTTCTTGTGTTGCCTCAAACATTGTTCGTTTCTTTCTTTTCCATTTAGTTAAACTGTAGACACTTTAAAAAAGACACAAGATTTTATTAAATGTTTTATCATCGCACCAATTTTAATAAATTAAATTGAAGTTCATTGGGAGCAAAGTTTCGATCTAACATTTTATCAGATAAATTCTTCATTGTAGTGCAAAGGTCAGGATGCAGGTGGTAGTCATTGCTAAGTAATGGAAAATGCTTGTAATGTTAGAGTTACTCTAATAGATACATAAAACATATTGAAATATTAACAATGAATTTCCATTAAGAAGAATTTAATTCAGATATAGTTTTGTGGCAGGAGCTAAATAAATATATTCGAAATACAAAGTTATTTTGTTGTACACACAAAGACCAGGCTCGTAGATTTGTAGCCAGAGAGGTACAAAGAACTCAATAGTAAAACAAAATTAAGCAGTTCATAAAGAAAATTTGTAAAAAAAACACAATCACAATGAACTGATAAAAATTTGTATGGGGATTGTTAGTCCTATTCAAGCAAAGATGTTTTCACTTCATTTTTTAATATTAATGTATCTGCATGTTGTTTAGTATCACAAAATATACATTTTTATTAAAAAAATTCAAGAAGTGGCTAGGGCTTGTTATTCTGATTAGGGCTGAACACCTGATATTAAATATTCTAAAGCAAAAATGTCCTTTTAATAATACCATACATTCAAAATAGTAGTTACATTTTACAGAAGCAATGCAAACTGTGTATAGTTCAGGTAATAAAAAATGAAGGTTATTCAGGTATAAATTGAAAATGATTGGGCGATACATTGATGTATTGAAAGTGTTAATTTATATATTGACGACAGTCTCTGATAATTTTTAAAATTTAAGTATTTAATGAAAATAGTCAATGTATTATTAGGTTAAAAACAAAGTTGATATGTATTTCTAATCTGGTGATATACACAAAGCATTACATATGCATGACAAAGGACATAATACATTTTTTGATAAAATTTCCTTTTAAAGATTAATTACGTAGTTGGGGAAAACACATTCTTCAAAAGAAATGATGCAATTGTTGCGGTGCATGATGTACGTACTGTATTTATGCTGCTGCTCTAGAAAAATATATCTGATGCTACTGTTTGTCCCACAGTGGTTGCTGGGGTGGCTCGTTATGGAGGCAAGTCTCAGGAGGGGTGTGTGTGTTTAGTGTTAATGCGTGTAAAGTTGTGTATACTAAATGAATGTGCTATCCAATAACACTGTTTACCAAAACTGACAGTATGATAACGCTTATGCCAGAGATAAAACCCAAGGACATTGTAGCTTTCTTTCTCCCTGCAGTTTCTATTCTTGCTGCTGTTCGCCCTCTGAAGCAAGTTGTTCTCAATATCTGCTGTTACCTGGTTATCACAATTTGTTACAGTAACGATAGGTTGACCTGATGCTCACGTGTGAACAGGGCAGTACTAAGCTTTTATTTTATGTTGGCTCTCTTCATTTTTGTATTATCATTTTAATTTGGTTTTTGAAGATTTACAGTGTACAGTGTAGCAAGCCCAATGTAAGTGACCAAAAAATGTTGATTTTTATTTAGCAATTTTGCATTTGTTTTAATGGGTTAGCTTGTAGGTAATTAGCAGTAATTATATACTACCTATAGTTTGAAAAACTCACATAATAATTTTTTACCATGAAAAAAAGTAAGTTGTTATTACAGAATTAAATATTATTGCTATCCCTCCCTTTGAGCTGAAAGTAAATCCATAAACTGTTTCAACAAATAGATAAGCAATAAGCTGTTATTTTAGTTTAAAGTTCTGACCACTGTAATACTGTGCATTTCTCTAAATTTTATATAGTGATTAGGAAAATTCATGCAAGTTGTTTGAATTGTTTTGATTTCTAATGAAGAGTGCCTGACACCCGAAATCATAAATTGTAATTGTATCTGCTTTTATCTTGGAACATTTTTTTAAAATATCAGTTTCTAGTAATTGATCCAATACCATTCCATTGTATTTCTAGATCATACAGATTAATTTGAAAAAGCTTATATGGTTGCACTGTATCCTTCAGCTCATTTCATAGGTTTTGTATGCAATTTACTAGAATGATGTTTTGACTGGAAGACATTTGTTCTACAGTTAAGAAACCACAAAATAAAATTGTGATAGCAAGTTTTATGGTGTTCAGTGAATTCTTGATTCTGTTTCTGAAGATATAGCATTACAATTATGTCTCCAGAAACAAAAACCTTGAGATTTCACTATTTATGTTGATGGTATCAGTCCTTAATTTCCTAATGTATTTTCTCCATGAAGTGCATGCCCTATGTGTTGAAGTTACATATGAAATGCAACACTCTCTTTAGCATTATCATTCCATCCGTAGAGTTAGTGCTGTTTTCCAATGTCCCTGTCCTAATTGGGCCTGTACGAATAGTAAACAAGTTCAATCCTTTTTGTTTTCTTTGTGTACTGTAATGTGATTTCTGTTGTGTATTCAGAGTATTAATCACGAATTCTTGTGTGGTTTAAGTAGTAATCTTTTTTTAAATTATGGATTTCAAAAAATTTATGTCAAACAAGAAATTTACATGACTTGCAGTTAATAAAAATCAAGGAGATTAACTTACAGTTCTTGTATTAAAATATTTTTTATTCAAACCAAAATATGTCTAAAGAGATTGAAAATACATGGCTCAATATTACTAGCACATTATTTTGCGATCCTCCTTTCGTATCGACTGAACATTCTTTGCTTGTACCACTATTCTAATGATGCATTTCTGCTTAATTTTTACAGTTATCTTGTTTTTCTGTTTTGATATTGTGAATTTACTATAGATTTTTCTAAGACTTATATAGAATTAGTTAATTAAAATAAATTTCTTCTGCCAATTCGGCAATTCAGTTGCTTCTGAAAGTGATATTCCAATGCATATTGAAATGCCTTTTAATTTATTGCTTTGATACAAAATGTCAGTCCGAAACAATTTGTTGACAACACACACAATTTTTTTAAAAATTGTTGTAGTTCCAGAGCTAATAAGTTTTTGAAGTTATTGTGTTCTGTGGTTGACTTCTATTGGAAGATTCAAAGTGGTATTGTTATTTAAGGAATGGAGATTTAATTTGAGAGTAATTAACTTTGCAACTTCATGCATTTGATTGATAGATAAAGAGAACATCTCTGACTTTACAGCTTTACTTTGAATTAACTCTTCTAAATGAAATGTAAAATAATTTGTGTCCCTTACACCATTTTAAAATAACATTCACACCCTCTGATTTTTATAGTCACAGTGTATTGTTTACTTCACTTGGCTGAGTGTGTTTATGGAGTATGTTTCTGTTAACAATTTTATGTGTAGTATAATTTGCAGATATGTGTAAAATCCTAACACGGCACCACAGGCTTTGACACAAACTGTGTACCTCAAGATGAAATATTTGTCTTCACCTGTGTTTCCAGTAGTGATTAAATCCTCTGTTTGAGGCTAGAATGTATGAGAATTTGGAAAAACGTGTTTAACATGCTGTCCGTGTTCTTTGTCTGATTTACTTTTTGTCTCTACTTGGAGCTCACTTGTCAAAATATTTAAAGTACTTTGCACATCTAGAAGTATTTCAGTGAATTTCTCTGGTGTATTTTTTTTAAAAACAGAGTTTAACAAAAGTATAAAAATGTTTTGGCAATGTGAGGAAAAAATATTTGGTGGATAATTTGGTATTCTTCAACATATGGAGTATTGTATTTTAATGGTTATTTTATGATTGTAGGCAAGAGAATCAACAATTGTTCTCTGTCAGATCTGTTGAAGATAGGAGAGAAGATTGGTTTAGGAAATTTGGTGTTGTGAAAAAATAATCATTTTTACCAGTATTTAAGTCTTGATAAAATTTATGTTATTTTTAAAAATGTTAATGTTCTTGCCCAGAAACTGATCTGTCTGGTTTCATAATGCATTTTTCATTTGTGTGTTCCACAAAGTATTTTATACTTTATTATTTTATTAAAGTTTTTGATATGATTAAATTAAAATTTTGGAGGAATTTTATTAAAAATTAAATAAACGTTCGATGTATTGACACTTGCTTTTATTGCAACATTCATTTTAAGAAAAGATATAAACAAAAGCAATTTGTGAAACACTCGTCTAGAATATGATATCTGAATTCATTGTGTTGCGATAAAGCGCAAGGATATCAGGAAAGGGCTTAAAATACCTAGTAGGATTTATTTTTGTTATAGATTTTATGCAATGAGGAAAGCAAAAATGTGATAGTCCTTTGATGTTTACAGCCCCATCGGCCTCGTGAAGGTGGTGGTGTGCGCCACAAGAAACGGGTGCGCCAGCCTCACAATACAAGAGAACGCCAGCGCCAGTTGGCTGTGGGTCATGGTGAACACATCATGCCACAGAACGTACATTACAGGACACCTCAGGTGAGTTGTTACTAGTAGGGAAGAGCATCATCCATATTTTCCAATCCATTCCAATCATCTATCTTTTGTGTCTTCCTGTAGACTGCACTTTAAAGCAGATGTTAGTTTGGCGATTGTTTTTACTTCATCCCAAAATCTTGAATATGCCACAAAGCAAGCTGGGAGTTAGATAAAAGAAAGGTTTTGAATTACAGAATCAATTTAGCAACAAGTTACATTTTCAAATGATAATTGTATGGCTTTTTGCACATTTGCAGTTCTTTGATTGAAACTGTCTTATTTTCCTAAAGTCTAAAGATTAAGGGTTCTTTCAGAATAATTAGAATAACTGGATAACAAATGGATTTGGTGGTAATCAGTTATGCCACACTAGCCTCAACCCCCTTTATCCCCAATTTATCTTGATTTTGGAAAAAGTGTGGCTTATCTTTTTATTATATATATGGTTCATATTTACGAAGGACTTGAAACAGTAGCACTTCAAACAAAATCAAGATATTTTACATTTACAAATAGTGGGATCTTGCTGTGTGACTGGTGCGATTTTTTTGGTACTGTACCAAGCCCTTGAAATGTATTTAATTTTTGCTCATACTGATAGTGTAACAGCGAAGTGTGGTGTTCTAAAAGATTTCAAAACTGGAAAATGATTGTTGTTGTACTTCCAGTCAGTGCATTGAGAATTCATGAAATTTTAATTTTCAACCTCCTTCTCATTTTCTGAACTAAGCTCGTGTATTCCTCACTTTCTTTACAAATTATTTTTCATTCTGCGAGGTTTCAAGTATGTAATTTAAAAAAGAAAATGTCAAAATGCTGCACAATTCAATGGCTTCACCATATCATTTGAAATGTTATTTATTACCACTATCTGAGTATCTGTTTTCTTTTATGTTGTATCTATTTTTACTGACGTTTCTCCTACTTACTTTCAGCCAATACAGACGACAGACGAAGCCCTTCTAGCAATGGGAGGGATGGTAGCGATGAATGATGGCCGGCCACCACGTCCTAACAGCATTGAACTTCGACGCTCATACCCAGAAGAAGCAAATTCAGTCATATACAGCAGCAACTCTGGAGTATACAGCCCCCGACATACACAAGCTCAAAGTCCCACAGACACACATTATAGGTATTTACTTTTCTTCATTTAGATAAGTCTAATGGTCAACTTCTGTATGTTAAATGAATATCAATTTTCTTCTTCTTTTTTTTCTTTTTTTTTTCTTTAACTACTACAGTTAAATGTTGCTGTTATTTTGCTTAATGAAATGAAATGAAAAAAATCTATGTAGTTGACAAAATTATTAATAATAAAATGGGATGCCAGAACCGACAAGTTAGTTAGGTGTAACTTAGACAAATTTATTTTGGTGTAACTTTAGCTTTGTTCATAAATTACATTGGATTGAAAACGAACAAATCATATGGGGAAGATTGCAGGATTATTCAGTTCATGTGGTGTGCTTAACAATTTGTTACCCTCATGTTGTGGCCTTTCCCTGTGAATGACGTTGCAGTACCTGTTGAGAAATTAATAAAATTGAATGGAATCATTGATGGAGATTCTTCTGATAGTTTTATTATAAGCATTATAATAACAAATTATAAATATCAATATTAAATTATTTAAGTTCAAAGCAACTAACCTGGAAGGTGATGGGGTACTGATAATCAAAAGTATAATGTTGAATACAATATACAAAGTAGATTATTAGTGGTATCTTCAAAAATGCATACCTGTATAATTTTATGAAACTTAAACAGATACTATGGGAATACAAGTTTAAAGATGTTACTTGAACTTTTGGTGCAGACACTTGCAGCATATGCTGCGAGTGGTTAGCATGACACTTTTGTTTCATAAGTTGCATACAATGATTACTTCACCAGTTCAGTCATGAAAGGTGTCCTGTGTTGAATTCTGGGGCTTGGTATATGAGACTATTAGAGGATTATCAAGACGTTGTTTGCTGAACCATGACTCGTTGCAGGGCTAACTACCCAGTGGGGTACGATGAGAACCTGTACCAGCAGCATTACGCCCAGGGGCAGGGCATGCCTGTGGTGGACGGGTATCCCACTCCAAATAATCAGACCCCCAGCAGGGGGAGTCGTGGAATGTCCCAAAGGCCGTCACAGCCTCCCCCTGCTCCTCCAAGCACCAACAACTCCAGCAACAGGTTTGTTTGTTACTCTTCAACACTTTCGCTCCTGAGCCTCATCTCTATTGGAACTGCCACTTTTGTCTGAGCAGCCCAATCATGAGCACAGCTTGTTCCTGTGGTTGCACTTGTGTTGGGGTGATCACTTCTCTCCGTGTTCAAGTAGGGGGCACTTTTCTTTTACAGAAGACAGCGTTTGTTCATTTCAAGGAAGGACTGCCAAAGCCAAGGGGTAGGGATTTCTTGTAGCAGCTGGCCTTGTTCTTTGTAAATTAAAACCAAATTCTTTTGACTGGTTGAGAAACTTTCTTTGTTTTTTCAGTTGTGGGTTTACATCTCTCTGGCCTATAAAATAACATTTTAGGTGTAAATGTATTGTATAATAATGAATATTATCTTTTTAATTTAATATTTGTAACAGTTTCCACAATATTTTGTTTTAAGTATAAGAAATCATTTACAGGATCTAGGTCAAAACTTTTCCTTGTAGTTTTATTGGAGATGATTTTCACTCTTTCCAACCATTCTGTAAATTGGCGTCTAATAAATTTTATTTTATCTGTAACAATTTTTCCTGTAAAATTACCAATTAAAGTGGAAGTAAAAGTATGTGTGAATTGTGAATTTGAATCAACAGTTCATCCTAAAGTTGAACGTTGGAAGATTTTAAATAGTGTATTAAAGGGTGACAACAAGTGATAACTTATGTAATATGAGTAATGTTTTCACAGCACTCCGACTGTTTCTTCTGCCACCAACACTCCGACTCGTGGGCGCAGCATGAGCACAGGCCGGGAGACACTTCCACCGCCTCCACCTCCACCCGTGGAATCGACCATGTCACCACCATTGTCTGCCAATGGGCCACTACCAGCACACCTGTTAGCACGTCAAGGCTCCGGCGGAGGCAGTGGCAGTCGTTCAGGTAGCCCGCTACCCGCATCATACACACCGCACTCAGGCACTCCAGAACCAGCGCAGGTGGTCCAACCAGTTCAGCAATTGCCACAGCCATTGGTACTGCCTCAGCAGCCACCACAGCCGATCCCACCTACAGCTGCTGATTTGCCTCCACCACCTCCATCTCCAGATCAGCCACAACCACAGCCACAGCCACAACCACAGCAACAGCAGCAGCAACCACCTGTGCAACAGCAACAGCAACAGCAACAACAACAGCAGCAGCAGCAGCAGCCACCATCTCCTCCCCCTCCGTTGGTGCGTCCGACGTCACCATGCAACATTCCTCCCCCTCCTCCACCTCCTCCTCCCCCACCTGTGGCCATGCCAAATGGACCTGTGGCTGCGCCGGTACCACCAACCTCTCCACCATTGGTGAATGGCGATGTTGGCAAGTCTCCCATCAAACAGGTGAGAGGTGATAATGTTTCAGATTTTGCTATTAGTCTAGGAAAACTGCAATGCTTGTATATTTCAGTGTATATCATCCAATCTAGAAAAGTCTACTGACATAAGACAAGTGAACTCTTCAATCGCCAATAAACCTCATTCACCAACGTCTTTTGAAACACATGTGAACACAGACAAAATACTTAACAGAATTTCTGAGGCTTAATTGTGAATAAACCACTGGCTCGTCTAGAACCAGACAATTTTCCATAATATTAACACCAAATGAAGCAATATTTGTATAATCTTAATTTTGACATTAATGGTGGTAATATTAATTCATATGAAATCTGCGAATTTTAAATATTCAAATGTGAAGATAGTTATGCACTGCATTAAATTTCTCTGAACATTGATCTTGAAAGTACTGTTGCCCAATTTTCATATCTTCTTATGGATAGAATGTTCAACAGTTATTATAATTAACATGTTTGTTGTAATATGTATTTGGAATCACCTTTGGTTGACAATCGTGAAAATTTGTACCAAACAGATGTTACTGCTTGGAATCTGTGTGGAATCTCATAAACATGTTCCACATTTTCCAGTATATTACATACCTGGTTTTAGATCTGCTCCCAAATCAATTAAATTACTAATGTGTTCAATAATTCCATTCAGCATGTTGAAAGTTAGTCAGTAACGTGTTCAACGATTCAGATGTTTTACAGTACAGTTGTACTGACTCCATTGTTTGCAGTTTTCTAGGTATTTTCAGATATCAGAGGGTACCAGAGATTAAAGAGGAGTATACTCCAATTTAAATTTAGGCTGAATTTACTTTAGATCAGCTGGGATGCTATCCCAGCATCAATATAATCGTATTAAATTGTATCAATATAAAAATATTAAATTGTAACTAAACTCTCGATTGAATAATTGTAACCCAGGTGATCACTGTCAATTCATCAGATATTTAAATCAGAAAATAGTTTGAGATTAAACAGGATATTTTCAATTTGTTTGATTATGGATACAGGTCGAGAGATGTATTGTAATATGCCTCCACTGTTTTCATTCTTCATGACCGCACATTTTGTTACATTGCCTTATATTCCTTTAAATTAGATCTGAGGACACTTTTTTGTTGTTTTTTTTCTTTTTCTTTCTTTCTTTCTTTCTTTCTTCTTTTTCCTGTGAGTTATTTTTCATGTTTCTATAGTACTGAATTTTCCGAAATTGCTGCAACCTCCTAATTTCAATGAAATCTAAGAATTTTATAGCCTTTTTGATTATTCTTAATATGCAGTCAAAATAATATCACAAACTGTTTTATTGACAAAAAAATTATTTCATTGATTAGAAGGTTATATATTTGTGCCATAGCTCTTCTTTTTGCATTATTTTTATCACTGCTATTATCATCTTCACTTGTCATAGTTTCTTTCTAGACTCCACCCTCCAAGGTTGTCCTCTTTGACTTTTGGATTCTCATGAAAGTTTTCCATTTTAAATTTGTTTTATCTGATGCCACCATTTCATCAGTTTTTCTTCCGCCTACTGTCCTGTTTCTGACTGAATCTGTTACAACCATAACCTAGAAATTTGCATTGTTGAATGTGGGCGTGATTAAGTTATAAACGTCAAACTCTTACATCTCCGTACCTCTGTTTTGTGGGTGGTGCTAGATAGGGGATGTAGAATAATTTCCAGCATTTACGAATATTTTGCGTATAAAATTCTCTTTTTATCATGCCATCTCAGTAGTTGGGCATAGAATGTGTACATCTAAGGTGTAGTTTTTCATTTCAATTTGATTATCATTATCATCTTTCCTTTTTTTTCCTTTTTTAGTTTTCTTTTCTGTTTACCAAATTGTAATTTTATAGAAAAGAAAAAAAAATAATAATAATAATAATAATAAAAAATATAATAATAAATATAATAATAAATATAAAAATAATAATAATAATAAATATAATAATAAAAATAAAACATAGGTAGTGTTAAATTTTTGCTCAATTTCTCCTTTGGGGGGGGGG